AACAACATGAATTAGAAATCCCAATGAATATTAGTAATAGAAACGAACGAAATTCATATTTTGATCTAAATTTTGAAAAATGGCAAGCACAGTTTACATTATTTTATACAAATCATATTAATATACGTGATTGTGGTAAGTTGTTTGTTCATTAGATCATGTTTATAACTCAAAAATCCCGTTAATATCTGAACCTCTCTTTATTCTTCCATATTTGCGCTATCATACAATAATGTTCGTGGATTTCAGGTTTCTCGTGCTCAAGAGCATTTGTAATAGATGGCTTCCAGAAATCAGATCGATTTATTTGTCAATTTAAAGGTGAAACAATTAAATCAGAAGAATTAGGTAAGGTCCTCTTGGTTTGAAAACAACGGGTGGTCGGAAAGTTTTGACAAAAAATGTTTGTTCATTTTGACCCGCTTGAAAGTATTTCCGACGAGTCAGAATCTATGCGTTAGAACCAGAATCTTGTACTCTTTTCGAATATCGACTTAGAAATTGTGTCTCGGTTTTTGTTCGAAAGTAGTAGGGGAATCTATGAAAGGCCTAAACAATTAGTTTGGACTGCGAACAAGTTTTGCTAACCCTATAAGTCCCTTTGCAAAGATGCTAAAAATTGTCGGATTCAGCAGTTTTGTAGACCGAACAATTCTTTACAAAATCTGATATCGAATTAAGCTGTAGCTTTTACTCAAGGGAAGCTATACGCATTTTCCCAAGAGGTCTTTCCACGTGAAAGGCTTTCAGTCAAAAAGTCGATTTTTCAAAAATCACGATATACGAAAAACGAAAATTCAGAAGCCTTCTCGAAAGACAAAAAGAACTCAAGTAGTACATTTTGTAGGGTGGATTTTGCTCTACAAGCTGGTACAACAACAAATGTTGCAACTTTTAGTTTTGGATCACAAAAGTGAAAATACAAAAATGTGTAGAAAAAATTTCCATCCAAACGAATTTTTTGGGCCTGTCAAAGATTAACTCACTACTCTCGAACAAAACCGACAAACAATTTCTAAGTCGATATTTGGAAAGAGCACAAGATTCTGGTTCTAACGCACAGATTCTGACTCGTCGGAAATACTTTCAAACGGGTCAAAAATGAATAAACATTTTGTGTCAAAACTTTCCGACCACCCGTTATTATCAACCTTTGTGATACAAAGATACAATTCTTCGCCCATTATGAAACATTTCAAATGGAAAAGCGTTTGGACACACATACAAGGCTTTATAAAGAGAGATTATGCGGAGGCTGGAGGAAGTAGAGAAACTCTCATAGAGGTACCTTCCTTCCTTCAGTGAGTTTATGCGAACACCTTTTGTGAATATAAGACAAACTGAAATGTAAAGTGATGGGGATGCAGGACGGGAAATGCGCACTAAGATAGCACATTTATTGCTGTGATACCCTTTTTTATTGTATGACTCTTTGTCATTCCAAGAATATAAGAGCTTCACATTCTTAGAAACACAATCCCGGGTGTATGTATATAAATTTTCGAGATATCCTATTAATGCATTTTCACAACCAGGCATTACATTTGATCATGAACTTCATTTCCGTTGCTTCCAGGCGAAATTCAATGGGGATGTGGTATTCGTCCAGAAATGATACCCGATAAGAATAATCATGGCTATTGGACTAATACATGTTATTGTCCTAAACATATTGCTTTGGCAAACAAACAACACAATCAGCAACCACACATACCAGATGATTACGATGATATAGATTGTAATGTATCTCGGTGGGTAAAATAAAACTCTTTATTTCAAGTTTTAATTTTCCATTGAATTTACAGAATTGTTTTATTCTTTTAAGGGCTGATCGTTATTATAGTAGATTAACATCATACGGTATTGTTTTAACAATGTTTAACTGTGGCATTATAGTTGCTTTCCATGAATTGTATCAATCTGAAGGTCCATTGCTTGTACTGTACCATATATGTTCAACAATTAAAAATTTTTCACCATTACTTGCCGTACCAAAATATCTGGTTTACGATAATGCATGTGGCTTATTTCTAACCTTTGATAGCCGTATTAAAAATGGAAAAATTAATCGAACTCCATCAACAGATGTCTTAGAAAAAATGACATTCGTCGTCGATAAGTTTCACATTAGCAATCATACACGTCCCATGTGTCAAAAACAAACCAATCCGTACAATTACGAAGAAGTTCGAAAAATAAACACACAAACATGTGAACAAATGAATTCAAAATTGAAACATTACCAGAACGCTTGCTCATCATATTCGTCACCGAAAAGCAAAGTGTTTTATTTATTATTGTTTAATCAGCTAAATTTAAATAAACTTGGACTATCTTTATACAGAACATACATTTGATTGTGCTGCTTTTAAAGTTCCTGTATAGAAACCAAAAAAATACAAATAAACTACTCAGTTATTTAGAGATACAAAACTCGAAGCTAAACAGTGTCAGACAATATGGGTTCCTTTAAATGGGGTTTGTCTCTAAACTTCAGCTTCATAGCGTTTTCATGCCCTGTGATCGAAAGATTATTTGTTATTTTTGGAACTAATCGTGATCACAAACTCCATGCAATCTATGTTTGGAAAAAGTCACGCCTTTTGTTCATTCTCTTATAGTGCAGAAGCGCACATGATGAAATCGTTCATTAACACCACTCCTTTTTTCCAATTGTAAGTTTCAGACTAAAATAAAATCTAATTTCACAGTACAGTAGACCCTAAAAGTAGAGTCTCTTATTTGGTCTGTTGAAATTCGCGCCAAAATGATTGAGCATGTATCAAATATTTACTGTTTCTCTTCCACATTCGTGCAGCATGTTAAAGTAATCTTTTTGTGTCAGACTAACGAGGGAAGGCCAAGTGTTCAAGCCGTTTAGACTTCATCTTTTGGCCATAAGTAGACCTCGATGTGATATGAAAAAACTGAAAAGGATTCATCCCCTTGGCTTTTGAAGACCCGGTTTTCTGAAAAACCAGTGTTTGAGAAACTCTAAAAAGTAACCTAAAATCTTAATGAGACACGATTGTAGTCCGCAAACTTCTGATTAAAATGAGACATCTCCCACCTCTAGGCGACCTTTCTTTACAAAGTTATAGAGTTTACAAGAAAAGCCCTAAATATTCACTGTCAGCGCAAAGCTACACAGAAATAAGAAATTAAGGACCCTGTCGGATTTGGTCGGACTCCTTGTAGAGGAACGCCGAGTACAGGGTTTTGTAGAGAACTTTTTTCTGCGTCGAATGGTATATGACTTAGGGTATCCCAGTTCGATTTTTATAGAGAATTTTGGATAAATATCTACTTTTGGTCACTATACGATCCTATTCCAAGAAAAACTCATTAATTAAGAAATGCATCTGAGAAAAATTTTGTGTTCTATTTAGTCTTGTAGAGCGAAGTCAAGGTGTACTTTATTAATTTGTGTGTCAAACTAGGTTTGATTGACTAAGAAGTCTGTCGCCTATCACGTCGCCATTGTATAACTGCGTGCAAAACTCGGATCATCTTCAAAATTAAATCATTCACAATAATTTCGAAGCGAAGTGTATTGTTTGTACGTGAAAGAGAAACACAAAAGGTATGTTATACACTGGTGAACAAACCGAAATCGCTGATAGAAATTTGAAATATGCATAGGGTTCTGTGGTTTGGCTAGAACCAGAGAGAGATTGTTTGCCTCAGCAATATCTACTGCTATTGTATACTACTTTTGTAAGATGAGTTCGCGGTTTGTTTTCTTTTTCCTAGACGGCTTCAAACTATGATGCTGAGTTCGAATTAACGTGCGATACTTTGTGAGTTGGTATAAGAATGTGTTGCTAGATTATAATTTTTGTGAAATAAAGCGAGGAAAGATATTTTAAATTTGCATAACATGATTGGTGTTAGAAAGAAGAAACGATGGGGCTTACTTTCAGGAGAATAACGAGAAGAATGGGCTTTGTGGAGAGGAGAAGATGTATAATTTAATGTGCTGCTTTGCATTATGTTGAAAAGCTGTTTTCTGTGTTTTTTCATGATGAAACTTTCGTTTTGTTTCTTTCTTTTGGGTTAAAGACTGACAAATGATCGTCAGTAAACTTTCTTTGTTTTCGTGTAGCCTAGATAAAACATTTGTCTATTGGATCTGGGATATTTAGATCTGAAAACATCAGTTTATCAGAAGTAATGAAAGCAGGCAAATGAGAAATCGTTAAAAAATTAGGTGGTCGTCCAAGTGTCGGTGATGGCAGTGTACCTCCATCTGACGCGGATGATGATTACAATGAGGATATTTTTGATTATGTAAATGATACGCAGCCAGACCGATGTGAAAAATACAAGTCATCTGTGCCACAGCAACATCCTTTTTATGATGAAATTAAAAAGTTTCAATCAGACAGCGAATTATTGAAATCTGTTCGATCACAAGTATTTATACACACCGAACACTTGATTAAGACACCTGTTCTACTCGTGCTGTCTTCTGTATTTAGTTACCCGTTAGATGATGCAACGTATTTGTATGTCGATACAATCGACATGTTAAAAGGTATGATGGATCACCTCGAAAAACAACAACAATTTGCTGTTGATTGTGAGGTATGTGAAGCTCTTGTGGTTTTCTCATTTACCACTTGTTGTTTTAGTACCTTTAGAGACATAGTTGTCGTTCATACCAAGCCTTCACTTGTGCCTTACAGATATCAACGCGTTCGTTCAAATAATAATCTCCTGGATCCATTAGTATTAAGAGAAGACTTACATGTATTAAAGACTGTATTTACAAATCTAAAACTATTAAAAGTGAGCAGAAATACTAAACAGAACATTCCGTGTCAGCAGCTAAGGAGTCCTTTAATATTGATTATAATCTCATGATTCGTAGTACATGTAAATATCTCTCACTGTGTTCTTTTTAGGTATTT